ATTCTGCTCTAACAAATTCATCTCAAAACTCCTTCTTTGCTTCGAATCACTGAACACTAAAAATGGCCCTAAAAGTTACCGACCTTCGTTCTGCTCGATTGTACAGAAAGTTGGCTGGTTTGATGTCTCGATGAATCACTCGATAACGATGAATATGATGCAGGGCTATGAAAAGATTGCGCATATATTCAAGGGCTTCTTCGAGTGGAATTTTGTGAATAAGGCTCTGAAACCAGAACAACATCACTAACTAATTTCGAATCTTGGAGCAGAACTCAGGTGATTATCTGCATAATAATTTACTGCGTAAACACAAATAAACTTACGAAAATATCATCATGAGGGAAATAATTCATTACTACAAACACTCGATCTAATTCGCGATACGCGGCTATGAACTTGACAACATTTGGCCCGCCTGATATCGTCCGCATAACCTTAAATTATTCGTTTCCTCCATGAAAGGCTCAAGATCAGAAAGAAATCAGACAGATGATCAGAAGAAAAAAAGAAAGTTTTTCGCCTGAAACCTCAATGGAAAACGACGACAACGACTATTCAAATGTACAGACGCAAAAATTCCAATATCACGTCGCGAACATGCGATGATATTAAGAAAAGGATTTGGACGTGTTTTAATACACTTTAGTCTAATCACTCTAAGATTAAAAACAAATCTTCCTGATCCTGGCGTTTACCACACACGATATCAAAAGTTACGGCGCAACGGCGGTGACGACGGAAATAAAGTCGCATTCATTTTTATGATACGGAATACGCCTCCCCCTCTTAAGATTATTGTTCAACAATTCTTGACATTTTTGGATTAGATTGGAACCACAGTTTGCACTTCAGTTGTAGTCAGCTGTCGCGCGTACAAAAGAGGCGAGATAATCATGAACTATGATCGCTTGACAATGATGCAACAAATCAGAAGCACGGTAGACACGTACCTTCAGTTCCATAGCAATATGTTTGGGATTAAATCCGGGAGCGGGGACCTTCAATGCAAACAACTGAGCGGGCTTTTTACGGCATTCAACAGTCCACACCTTTCCGAATGAACCTGCATGACAGATTCTAGAACCTCGTCGAGTCTCGCGTCTAGAGTTTTCAGTTTCCCTGCAACGGAAGTTGACAAAATCAATTTACGATTGTAGTAAGAAAAAATCTTTTTTCAGAAGATACAAGGGTGGGGGGGCAGTCGCGGCATGCTGTTCAAATCTTGAACATAACTCTTGACGCGGATCTAGTGCTCTCAGAAAACTTGTGACTGAATTTGGGACGGACCGTGATAGCGAGAAACAAAAAATGAACAGAGTAGATTCTACTAGAGAGAACGGGAAGACCTAGAAAAGGAAGAGGGGCGCTACAGGGCGGTCTAACAGTCTCTCGCGCTCCAGTATAGCGGCGCTAACTACCCGCGATCGCGTCGCGCGTTGTGCCTGGAGCGCGCTGGTTGGGAAAATTGCCACATGTACCCCCTATTTGAAGGACTAGAACTTTCTTCAGCGACAACCATTTAAGAAAAGTGAAAGGTTTTGTTTGTAATGCGCGATACTTCCAGTTTCTAAACTGCGGTGGGCTTGTTTATGTACATCTTATCTCGAGAGTTGAGACGTCGAGGATATAGGTCGAGGGAATTTGAAATTTACAATGCGAATTTCACTCTCGGAAAGACTGTAATTTGTTCGATTGCGATGTTCTGTAGAGCTCACTGTGAACTGAAGTGGCGGTTAGGAGGTTCTGCATGTGTGGCAACACCTTACTTTGCGAGAAATTTGCGTCGAGGGAAATGTCGTGGAAATTTTCGGACCCACTCAAAAACTCGATATCTTCTTAGCCGTAGGCAAGGAACTTCTTTAAGCACCCTAAAATGCTGTAGTATGGGCACGTCATCTCAATGAAGTAAATAGGAAATGATACACTTGGCGCAGATTCATCCGTTCTGGCGTCATGCAGCGGCCCCCACTCGTAGTCGTTTGAAAGGTGTTTTTCTGCACGGAAGTTTACTTGTTCAGGCCAGAAGGTGTTCCCAGTCTCTTGAACAAAAGAAGTCTAATGGCCATAGTAACAGTATGATCATTCCTTATATAAACCTCCCTTTCCCACCCTGTTCCGATAAATGACGCATTTGCGGCTACGGCATGTGACTATGCCAAGAAGACTGCGAATTTCCCCGTTTCGAACTTTCTACTAATATACTATTCATCTACTAAATTGGTAAATGAGTACATTAACTTAGAGTAAATATTCGCTGCCAATTTCCTACGATTCTTCTGCGAGACGCGCTTCCTCCCTGTATCTTCGTACTAATCACTACGAACCAGATCAGTGGCACGTTCCATTTTAATTTTAAGTCTAGATAGATGTAAGATGTCATTTGCATTACGCTAACTAAAACACTTGTCAGCGAATGAGTGGCAGCAAATATTCCGTTCGTTCCGTGATGAACATTGTGTTTATGGTTGAACGACTCCCACCAGGGTCAACCGTCCGTTCGAACTGTTCGAACGAAGGGGTCGCATTTTGGTCGGAAGGGGGTCGCAATTTCGAGGACTGCCAGCCACAGGCGCGTGCGTGGCGTATCCGAGGGCAAGAATTGTTTGTGCAGACCGCATTAGATTCGATTAATTATGCACAGAGAGACAGTTTTAGGCAAATTACGGTGTTTTCCTTGAGGAATAAAGAACAGTTGAATGCATCCTATGAAAGGTTTGACTTCTCGGGGCTGAAATTAAAGTTCTTCGGGACCTAATTTTCTGAGGACGATTCTTCCAGACAACGGTAAAACACATAAGAAAGCAGAAATCTCGTAGTCTTCAAAAATGTCTTCGCCCCTCCCCAACAAGTTCTTTGAAGGAAGTTATTATTGCTGAAAGCTCAAAAACTCGCATGTGCTGCTCAAAAACCTATGGGAACAAAATGTTCGAACGTGTGATTTTCTCGGAAAATGATTTTGAAAAACGGTTTGGTGCTTGTCAGAAAGAGCAAATCCTGCACTTTCACCCCATGAAAAAAGTGCATCACAGAAATGAAAATGAAGTGAGTTATGGTCGCTGAAAGCCCAAAAACTCGCGATTTCAAAAAAAGTGTTCGGCAAAACCCCCCAAAATGTTCGAACGTGTGATTTTCTCGAAAAATGAACTTTGAAAAACGGTTCCTGGGCTTTTACTAAGAAAAAGTGCATCACAGAAATGAAAATGAAGTGAGTTATGGTCGCTGAAAGCCCAAAAACTCGCTTTTGCACGAAAAATGTTCGAACGGGACAATTTTTTGAAAAAGGGGACAATCACTAAACTTTTTATACTATTTTGTTAGAGAAATATTTGAAGTTTCTGAAACTTTTTACAGATTTCCAAAATGTCGCATACGAAAGATTTTATGGGCCTTCAAAGTTGAAGGTGCGCCTTCTTAGAATTTTGGGTTTTCCACTTTCTAACAGAATACTTGTAGTTTTCTTAAGGAAGCGCACCTCAGGCACAATCAAAATCTACCTCAACAAGTCAAAAAAATACGTCCCAAGAAAGTTATTCCCCTCTGAAATTTTTTCTTCGCCGCGTCCCGTTCTTCCAGCGCCCGGGTGATACCTGCCGCGCTCCAAGGCCGACGCGACGACGCGCAGACGCTTTCTGGCGCAACGGATTCATGTCTAGCACTCTTATTAACAAAAACAGGGGGTCGCAACTGGACCCCCTCGAGAGCTAGGGGGTCGCAAAAATCCCGAAAATGTTCGAACGTGACGGTTGACCCTGCTCCTCCCCCAATTCTCATCGGAGCCAATACCACCCTGTCATGATTTCATCGACGTATTCACTCTGGGGGGCGGAGTTAGGCAGTCACTTGACATTGCGTTAGCACCCTGAAATGTTCCAGTTCACACTAATTCACCGAGAAACTGCGTCGTGATGTACCCCCCACTTTCCGAATAGCCCCTTTCTCGTCATATGAATATGATAACCATGTTCTTTGGGTCAAATTATACCCGTCATTCGTAACCGGTATTCTGAATTATAGACCTCAAATATAATACTCATTCGTAGGATAACACTCATGGTTTGTGCCCACGCTTTATCAGCGAAGACAAATATCGGAAAAATTCTAAACCTCTAAAAGCAGGGCGATAGTACGGCACACAAAACCTTCTTCCCGCCAGCAATTTTGTCTAGGCGTCATGTTAGAGAATGCGTGTGCACTGCACGAATACTTGAATGCTACAGTAAGACATATTTGAAATGGTTTTTTTACAGACTTATGCTTGCCTCATGTCTTGAGTTTTTTCTGTCGATTCTGAATGGGGGTGCTGTGGCTAGGAGAGGGCGGTGACTACTGTTTTCGTGAACTAGTTTTTCGTTGTCTTTCGATTATTATAACAATCAAAATCGTTACCAGCTACGGCTTCACATCGTGAATGTTTTGAAGTTGTTTTCAACTTCTCATTAGTAACAGTTTCTCGTTCTTTGCGGTATTTCGGAGGCGTGTTGTGAGCCTTGTAGTGATTTGATTTAGCTTGTGCTGCTTGTAGTTTTAGAAATCTGTTTCTATTCGTTTCAGGAATTTCATGTGAAATTATCTTTGAAGTGGTGTGAGTACAATGCTTGGAAATCGTCGTTTCTTAGCAACACAACGTCCGTCAAACGGAAAAAAGCGGGTTGACATCGTGTAATCGTTCGAAATGGTCCACGAATTAATTTTGTGAGTAGGAGACCCTTGGGAGCAGGTAACGCTGAGAATAATTTGTTAGTCAATCATGGTTTCGGCACTATTCAACTATTACAACCCCAAAATCTCAAAATTTTATTTTTCGTCGAAACTTCGCCCATAGGGGTTATTCGATGCCCTGATCACGAAAATGACATTCATTTTTGGCGTTGGCGCCATTGGCGCCAATTTGGCGCCAGGGCTATTTTCACCAAATTCGCTGTAAACTTGTATACAGGGGTTATTTGGGGTCCTGATTACGAATATAACATTCATTTTGGCGCCTGCGCCATTTGGCGCCTATTTTTCGGCTCGTCTGCGCCCTCTCACTGATTAGCTCGCGATCAGGACTAAGCCTTTGGGGAGAAGAGAGGCTCCGAAGTGAGTGAATCTCCCATCCTGTGATCTTATACGCTTCAGCTTTTGCCACACGTATGCCTGGTTCACCCACCCAGGAGTCCTCCTCCTAATAATTAGTCTGAGGTAATATGTACAAGTGGGAGGGCCCAGGAAAACGGAAAATCTGCGTTGAATAGTGCAAATGCTGGAAACCAATGTCGTATTCGTGATCAGGACCCCAAATAACCCCTGTATACAAGTTTAGAGCGAATTTGGTGAAAATAGCCCTGGCGCCAAGTGGCGCCAATATGGCGCCAACGCCGAAAGTTGAATGTCATTTTCGTGATCAGGGCATCGAATAACTCATATGAGCGAAGTTTCGACGAAAA